CCTGGTCGATTGGGAGGGGTACGGTCCTGAGGAGAGGTCATGGATCCCCAGGTCCTTTATCCTCGACCCCAGCCTCATCTCCAGGTTCTTCAGAGACCACCCCGAGAAGCGCCTCAGGTCGCCTGGAGGCGATTCTTGAGGGGGGGGGGGGGTTACTGTAAGGGTCCCACTGCCTGCAGCCGGCCTTGCTGATGGCCGCTGATTAACAACACCTGGCGGTCATCAGCCTGATGAGCCTCTCCATCTACAAAAGGCTGCAGCCCAGTGTGACTCATCGCTGGAGCATATTTAATATAGAAATATTCACTGATAAAATCGTACAATTATTGGACAAGAGTTTTAATAAAAGCATTTTTTTCTGTGGAGACTTTAATATTGACCTGGGAAATAAAACAAATTCAAATAACATCAGTACATTTACAAATTCATTGTATAGTTTAAATCTTTATCCGTTAATATCAAAACCAACAAGAATTACAACTCATAGTGCAACAATAATCGATAATATTTTCACAAATGTAACAAATGGGGATGTGATGGGAGGTATTTTAATGAGTGATTTGAGTGATCACTTACCAGTTTTCATGATTTATAAAAATGATCAAAGCATTACAAAAGAAATTACAATTAAGGAAAAAACAATAAACACATCAAAAAAAGCAATGGACAAATTAAAAGATGATTTACATAAACAAAGCTGGAAAGACGTGTATGTTGATGATGTGAACAGATCATATGATGAGTTTATGAATATTTTAGGAGCTCTGTATGAAAAGAATTGTGTGCAAAATAATTGTACAAAGAGAAATGTTGTTGACCAACCATGGATGACGAAAGGGTTGAGAAATGCTTGTAAAAAAAAGAATTATTTGTATACATGTTTCTTGAAATTGAGAACACAAGAGGCTGAAGAGAAATATAAGAAGTATAAAAATAAATTAGTTGCGATTATAAGGAAACACAAGAAGGAATATTATAGTGATTTATTAAATAAAAGCAATGGTGATATGAAAGCTACATGGTGAGTAATAAATAGTGTTCTGAAAAGTCATAAAGCAAAAACAGGTATTTCACAATATTTTTTGAAGGATGACGATGAAATCCATGATGAAAATGAAATTGTAAATGGATTTAATCATCATTTTGTGAACGTTGGATCAAGCCTTGCTGCTAAAATACCAAAAGTGGACAATAATGTGAAACATTCAGTTATAAGTTGTGACAACAGTATTTTTCTTAATGGAACTGACAAAGAAGAAATAATGAATGTAGTAAAAAATCTTACAGATAAGAGATCAAAAGACTGGGTGGACATGGATATGATGTTTGTAAAGGACATAATGAGTTATGTTATCGAGCCGTTTACATATATTTGTAATTTATCATTTTCAAAAGGAATATTTCCAGACAATATGAAAGTAGCTAAGGTAGTTCCTCTCTTTAAAAATGGTGATAAATGTGTGT